TTTTTTAGCATTTATTGTATGTCAAAATGAAAAAATAAAATAAAATAAATAAATAAATATTAAAATTTTATAATTTAATTTCTTAAATTGATTTATAATAATGTAATAAAAAAATTAAATTTTATTTAATATTTAACAAATTAAAAATTGAAGCATATCATATTATATCATTATAAGTTAAATTTATAAATAAATAAATAAATCTCAAATATTTTTTGAAAGTGAAATTTTTTTATTCCTTTGTAGACCAATGAACCAGCAGCTTTTGGTTGAAGTTTGGGTGCTCCTAGCCTCTGCAAATGACCTCCAATGTGCTGGAATGAAGTGTAGGGGTGTGGTGCTATGGGTTGGTGAAGAAATGGCCCAAGAACAAGGGTGTTTGATGATTGAATGAGAGAGATATGGAGAGAGATTGAGGGTTGTATGTATGTATATATCAGATATATCTATATATCTCTGGTTTTTTGTTCCAAAAATCCAACCTAGACAAAGGGAGAGGAATGGTGCTTATATAAGGAAAGGGAAGCATTTAACTTACAAGCTAAGTAAAGGGAAAGGGTCAAAGGGGTTCAAGGGGGTGCAAGGCTTCTAGAGGAAGCTAAAACAGCTGGCCAAGCTTCCAAAGGGTTCAAGCTTCTAGAAGGTTAAGGGGTTCAAAGGCTCACAAGGTGCAAAACAAACACACATGTGCGTGGGGGATCGATTCTGTGCATTCCAGCTGGCACAGCTGGAATCCACTCAATCTGCAGAATGCTCCGGAAGGTCGTCGGCTAGCAAAATTGGCCGGTCGGCTACTTTTACTGGCCGGTCGGCACAATAAATTGCCGGTCGGATAAATATAGTGCCGGTGGATGGCCGGTAAGGTCAAAAAACGGCCGGTTGCTGTCCAAATTGAAGCCCCGGAAGTTAGCTTTCCAATGGCGCAAACCTTGCATTAAAATTCCTCCTGTGGAAAAAGTTATGCCCATTTTGGTGAAGCCGCGCAGATTCGATCCAACCGGGATGATCCCCAATTTCAGCTGATCATATCTCCCCCACCCGGACTTGGCTTTAAGATATTCTTGAGTGCAAAATGAAGCCCCAAAAGTAAGCTTTCCGACGGTGGTGGCCTCATAGCTAAACTCCAAGTGTACAGATAGATAAGCCCGATTCAGCGAGGGCTGCTCAACTCGCTTCTACCCGGATTCATGCCGAACTTTTCCCAAACTAGTTTTCTCCTCTCCTTTCCTCTCTTCTTCAACTCCAAACCCCTAAACAAAGTGTTTTGAAGGATTTGCCTCTCTCCTCTTGCCGAAGAAACTGAACATTTAAGGCAAGAGAAGACTCTCAGTTCTTGCTATACCTTGTTTGGAGGTCTTGTTTGGTTGGCTGAGTAAAAGGGAGAACCGTTTAACACTGTCAGTTTTATTTTTTGTTCTGGTCTGTGTGTTTTCTTTGTTGTTGATACTGGAGACACTTTGCCTTTGTGTAAATGATAGTACACATATTTTACACAGTGAATGCAAGATTTGTGCCCCTTAGAGGCCAACTAATACGATTTATTTATCATTATAAAAAATAAATAAATAATGGCCATCATCACGCTGTGCTATCAACAATATATGAGTTCTCTGATGGCCTGCACCCTTAAAATTTGCTGAAATGAAATGAATTCAGGTTGCGTTTGTTTCAGGCCATAGAGGAATTCAAGAAGGGCAAAGTTGAATATCGAGCAGATAAAACTGGGATCATTCACTTACCCTTTGGGAAGTCAGATTTTTCTGAAGAATATCTTCTTGTGAACTTGCTTGCTACAGTAGTATGCTCTCTCTCTCTCTCTCATGTTTATATGTACTCAATTTCGGAACTGTATTTCCTTTTTTTTCTTACCCTTTGGAAAGTCAGATTTTTCTGAGGAAGATCTTCTTGTGAACTTGCTTGCTGCAGCAGTATGCTCTCTCTCTCTCTCTTTCTCATGTTTTGCGCTGTCTGAATTATATGTACTCAATTTCTGAACTGCATTTCCTTTTTATTTCTTTAATTAACATGACAGAAATCAGTAGAAACAAACAAGCCATCTGGTGCAAAAGGAGTATACTGGAAAAGTGCACATATATGCTCATCAATGGGGCCTTCCGTTCGGTTAAATATAAGGGAAATGCTTGATTTCAAGCCTGCGACTTTGAATGTTTAAGGAAATATAAATACACATGTAAATTATATCTTCTAAACTATTCAGTTAGCTTCTTGGTTTCCTCCACAGTGACTTGTGAATGTTTGAAAAGGGTAGGACACAAGCTGAGTTGAATATGATAGGGAGGTATTCAGATTCATGTTTGCATTTACAAAGAGCATTGCATTGGCTTCTATATGCCAGTTGTATCAAAATCTTGTATTGGTATCACGAACTTTTTTTTATGTATTTTATTTTATTTGTATGTTAATAGGTTAGTAATAAGGTAGATTACAACGAATGAGCTATGGTCGCTCTATCGATTCGTTGTTGCTATTGCACATATGAAACTGAATTAATGCCTCATTTGTTATTTGAATGGGAGTTATTATTTTATCTGTTAGTTTTGTTACAGGTATTTGAATGGGAGTTAATATTTTGTATGTTAGTTTTATTACAGGAATTTTTTTATTAATTGAATGAGAAACCAAATTCAATATTTTCTTACAGGTATTCTTTTTAATTTAATCAAATAAAACTAGCACAATCTAAAAAAAAAAAAAAAAGATATGATGGCGTTTCTAGAAACACCTCCTAAACCCTCAATAGTAACGGTCATATTTTTTAAATAGATACGACGACGTTTCAAAACGTCGCTAAATATCATTGGTGACGTCAGCGTGTGTATAGTGGGACATTTAGCGGCGCTTTTTAAAACGCCTCCTATACTAATATCACGACATTTTTAAAATGTCGCAAAGCTACAGCGACGGCCGCAGCTTCGACGTTTGGTACTAAACGCCACAAAATGAATTAGCGGCATTTTTGATAGATATAGCGGCGTTTTTAAAACGCCACTAAAAACCCGATTTCCAACAGTGATAACATTTTAAAACTATAACATTTTATTTTAATTTTGAATTTAAACAATTGAATTACCAAAGTAAAATTATTGTGGAGAAAAGAATGATAAAAGATTCTGATCCACAACTTTACACTGAAAATATGTAAATTTTGAACAATAATCATTAACTTGTTTTGGGAGTAAATTAAAATATGACTTTTTAATGTTTTTTGACTTTTTTAAAAAAAATGTAAAAAAAGCAAAGAGAAAATATGACCCAAAAAAAAAAATTAAAAAACCAAAAAATTTCTTTTGACCATATTCTCAACACAGCCAATATTGTTTGTGGTGTTCTGTATTACCCTAGAAGACCATCTCATACATGTACGGTGCATTTGAATTTAAAAAGTGTGGGTTTAGTTTTAGCTGTATTTTGATTCCATTCTTGTCAAATTGTTATAAAATTAAAGTAATAGAAAAGAAAATAAGAGCTAAAGAGAATAGCAAAAAATTATAATCAAGAAAATAAATATTTCTTCTCATTCAAACTTATGCATACCAAAACATCTAACAAATATTTGCTTATATAGGCAAAATTTTAGTAGATGCAACATGTGAATTTGGAGGAGTTGGTAGAGATGGGAGGTTGGTGAAGTAAGTGAAAATGGTGAGATTGGAGGAGTTGTTGAGGTTGAAGAGGTATGTAAATTAACACAACTCCATTAACTAAATTCTACCATGTCCATTAATCTCATCTTCTTATCATGAATTAAAATGATATTTGTTTTAATGGTTATTCAAATATTTCACAACTCCCTCTTGAATAACTATATACTAAGAATATGTCTCGTTAAAACTTTACTAAGGAAAATTCAGTGGGAAAAAACCTTTCGTGAAAGGAAAAGAGTACAATATTCTTGTATGTGATTTGTTTAGATTGCCTCATTAAAACCTTGTTAAGGAAAACCCAGTGAGAAAAAACCTTAGATGAAAGAAAAAGAATACAATCTACAAATCTACTTAAATAGATGACTCCCCCTCAAAACTGCATAATAGATCGTTACGTTGAAACATCTCAGTATTATGCACGAGCTTTTTGAATGTTGCAGTCAATAGTTATTACCCAGAAGGTAACCCAATAGGTGGTGAATTGAGTTTCTAAATAAATTGATAAATTAAAAATTCAACCTAAATAACAAATAAATAAAAATACTCAATAGTATAAAATAGGGTAATGAAATAAAATGAGCAAAGGGAAGAGAAAGAAAACACAATAATTTATAGTGGTTCACCACGCCGGGCCAATGTCCACTCCCTAAGCATTCTCCTTGAAAATTTCTCCACTATTCTTCAAATAATAATTATACCACTAGTTTCACGAGTGCTAGTGAACCTTTATAACAAGTAACCAATCCCGATCACTCCGACTAATTTTGAATCCGGTGCCTAATCACACCTCACCAAGTAATTTTATCTCAAAAATCACTCACAAAAAATAGCACTCTTTTTACAAGAATAAGAATAAAGGATATAAGACACTTTTAAAATTTTGTTCAAACTTTTAATAGGATTTCTCTCACAAGAAATAATTAATCACTGAAAGCACATAATATAATATTTGAGAATACTTTAATATCACGCAATTTCTTTTCAACACTTCTTTAATTTTTCTCCAAACAGAATGCCCCATATATAATTAAAAATTTATCCGTTGAAGAAGAGAGACGCTCCTCTCGAATCACGAGGAGACAACCACGTGAAGACAAACCAAGCACGCGGCGCGAAGCATGTTTTCTTTTTTTATTGTTGGGCGCCGCTTCAACTTTTCGAGAAGGATAAGGGGTCACTGCTGTGCATGAAGCACAACAATGACTGTGGTGCCTCCATTTAAGGTGTATTATGGCCTTATTTTTATGATCCAAACCGTTATTTTGTAGGGTTTGTTGAGTACTTTATGCCTACCAAAAATCATATTAATCGGATATCAAAAATTATATGATCGAATTGCATATTATTTATGTTATTTCTCAAAATAAAACTTATTATTTATTTTTTTGGTTATCGATCATATAATTGTTGATATCCGATTAATATGATTTTTGATAGGCATGAAGTACTCAACAAACCCTACAAAATAACGGTTTGGATCATAAAAATAAGGCCATAATACACCTTAAATGGAGGCACCACAGTCACTGTGCTTCACGTACAGCAGTGACCCCTTATCCTACTAAAATAGCTAAAAAGTCAAAAAAATCTCTAAAATAATCACTTTCCAAACACCTAGACAGTAACTTCACATTGGAGCCAAAGAACTATAATTACATCACGCCACTAAACAATGCAGGACACAACCTTGATCGGGACAATGTAATCCCACATTACCCTAATTAAAAAAGTGATGCTAAATCCATTCACGGCATGGGATAAATCACATTACCACTATAATGAACATTTCAAAAAAATCACAAGAAAACAGGACAAATCAAGACTTCAAACATGGCATTTACATAAATTTTACATCGACACATTAACCACAACTCATGTATTCCATTCTAAATAAGAAACCCTAAACTGCTTAACATCACCCCCACACCACCACCATTACAACAACAACTAACGAAACGACCTCCTAATGTAACAAATACATCGTGTGTTCATCACCATATGTAATGTTATGTGTCTGTGCGATTTTTTAGTTTTGGGGATTGAATCGTCGTTGCGTCGTTTACAGTGTTTAACATCACACAACTTCGCATTTCATGGTCATCGTTTACGGCTCTAGCAATGGCATAATCAATGTGCCTTTGTGTCAAACAAGCATCGGGTGGAGAATACTCTGCTATTATTAGTCTCAAATTGAAGGTGGTTCGTCAGTGTTCTTGTTTCGCTATCTAAGGTTCCAGCCGAAATCACAATGTAGAATTTTCATAAAACCCTCTTTTTGAAATCCCTAAACACCATCAACGATTTCGATCAACAAACATAAGAATGTTCAAATGTGGAAATGTTGCTTTCTAACATTTCCATATGAAGATCAGAAGATTCAATTGAAAATGACGGAAAACACAAAAAGCCTATAGTGCGTTTTATGTACAGATCTGTAATTTCACCATAAGCAAAAAAAACCAAATTCGTCCCTAATACACACATCAACAAGCGTGTGACATAGGACAAATGTGACATTCCTAGTGTTTTATGACTTTTTAGTTCATCAAAAAAGATGGAGGACTAATTAGTCCACAAGTTCACATTCTGAGATTTATTAGTACTTCATCCATAATATTTTTATCATAATATTTAGGGTAAATTACAAACACACTCCCTGAGGTTTTCTTAAAATACCAATTGCCCCTTGTGATTTGAAAAATTACAAATACCTTCCCGTTAGAATTTTTTATTTAACAGAATTTATTAAAAAAGTAAAATTTCTAACTATTCACCTATACAATAATAAAATTATCTAAATTATTAATTGAAATAAAATTGTAATATTATTAAAAATTGTTAATTAATTTGATGATTTATTAATAAAAGGACCCATTTGTTATGAAATTAGAAACCTTAGGAGGCATAATGTAATTTCTAGAACTACAAGGAGTAATTTGTAACTTAAGTAAACCTCAAGGGGTGTGTTTGTGATTTACCCTAATATTTATTCTCATATTTGATTTATTAAATTAATAATAGAAAATAAATTATAAATGAAATTATTATTTATCATTGTAAGAAGAGTTTCAATTCGGACCACTAATACACCATCACTAAAAGCAGTACTAATGACATGGTAGTGTAAGGGAAAAAATAAAATAAAATAAAGGCTAAACTATCACATCAGTGTGAGTCCACATCTCGCCACGTTATTAGTGGTTTGTTTAGCAGTGTTAAATTAATGGTATGAAATATTTTTGTTGTAAGAATACAAAGAGATTAAAGAATGGTTATTTCTCCTATTTCGTGTCAGTAAACTAAATACTGCATTAGTACTTTTTTCTCTATCTTTGAAAAAAATAAAAATAAGAAAACTACATGGGCGATTCCAAAAGGAACAATAGAAAAAAGACAACTGTGTTTGGTAGATGAGGATCAATACAAAATCTTTTGTTTGACAGACACAAATGTGAATCTTTAAACTTTGCTAATCCATTATATATAAATATTTTAATTTTTTTTAAGACATGGAATTGATCTTCACGAAGGGAGACTATCAATCCACTCCACCAGAAACATATGCAAACAAATCTACAAAATAATTGATATATCAATCAAAATAAATACATTATTCAAAATAACTTAAAGGGGGATTTGGTGATAGACAATTCACTGTCTAATTTATCTTTTAAACGAACAAAAATTATATAGGTACTTTCAAAATCTCTTAATATTTTAAAACTTATTTATTTTACTATATTACCCTCATATCTATCAA